TTCTCTGCACCTCCCATGACCAGCTACATCTAAATTGCCAATCTACCTATGTATCAGATGGTTTATCATTCCCTTCCAGGTTGGTGCATTTTCTTTGGCCTTTTTGGCCCCCTCTATCATTCAGTCTTGAAAATAACCGATGTTTAGACCCAACAACGCCTAGAGGGGGTTAACGGGAGTATAATACGGAATTAAATATAACAAACAATAATAAACAAAAAGTCACGGATTATTGTCTCCAGATGATTAAGTTGAATCCAGTCAAACACCAATTGACAATCATGCGATATATCAAAGCATAAAAGTAAAATTGACATTAAATATGGTAACGAAGGAAAATCCTTTGAAGAACTCTTCACAGGGATAGAAAAACCTTCGGATGAACCTTGTCAAAATGATCCACCAAAAAAGATAACTTACTGTTAGTCCAAATACATCTAAATTTTAATAGACTCTGATTATCCAACATGTAAATCACTAAAGAACCTCTTCGATTGTACATCCAGCACACCTCTGGACTTCTTTTCCCTCCCGTAGATCAGCAAGAACAAACATCGTTCTTCTCCAACTGGAACTCCAACTGCTTCTCTTGTACTCCAATAGTTGTATGAGTGTGGTACCTTATTTTATGCATTCGAAAGAAGGGAAATAAACTCGACAGGGTATAAATCATCGTAGGGTCCGATAGGGAATAGAAATATACCACTATGCTCTACGTGAATCTCTAAGTGTTTACAAAATGTCATACATTCTCGTATATTGCATTTGTCATAGAAATATAGTCAAATGGTATGCGAGAATAGGTTCAGTTCTACTCGAGAGAGATTATTGAATAGGTTAGAAACATTGATTCTGCATCAATTCAAACGTATTGTCAATTTTGTAGAACTAGAGTTAAAATGGATCATTGTATGGGAATTCGTGAACCTAGTGCGTTTCTTTTCTATTAATTACTTTAATTTGCATTCAATCATATAATTTGCATTTAGTTCAATTAATTCATCCACTATTGCTTTCATTTAGTTTAGCTACGATTTAGTTACAAAACTCAACCATATTTCACGTTTTGCTTAAGGTCGGAATAGATAAAATCGAACTAGTAAATCTCTGTGAAAACGATACTTGGACTCTAAAATCCACTTTATTACTTGAACGATCCATACACTTGCTGTAGTTTTTATTCGAAACATATTTTCGTATAACAGGAGTGTTGCTGACTTGATGAATATTATTGAGGAGCCTCTAGAGCACTATCATAGAGATATTATTTCTCGTGTAAAGATAATATATTTCTTGATATACTTTTGATTTGCACACTAATTATACTCTTATTATTTTTGTGATATGTAGTGAGTTAGATTATTTTTGGGATAGCTAAATTGTTGGTTACAGAAGCAAACTTCAATATGGATGGAATATTTTATAATATTTTAATCAGTTTTTTTTTTTTAAATAGTAGTCTATATTTTTCACATATTGCTATATAACTTTTTGTGTAGGTTAATGATGTTAGCATTATTTAGATTAACTCTACATTTCGACATATTGTATTGAATCATAGAACTATGTAAAATCTGATAACATATGATTAGTGTGTACTATTTTGTTTTGTAATTATTATAGATTTGTTGGTAATCAAATAAATAAATATTTTTTAAAAATTAAATTAATTATGCAAAAACAATTTAAAAAAATGTAAAATGACATACGGCAATGGTCAAAAAATGTTACAAAAAAGAAGGATATAAACATAGACAACACTCAAAAAAGTTGCAAAAAGGTTATTGGCAACATTCAAAAAAACTTTGCAAAAATATTATCACAACACTCAAAAAACGTTACAAAAAGGTTATTGCCAACACTCAAAAAACATTGCAAAAAGATTATTAGCAACGTTCAAAAAATGTTGTCTTATCCTTCTACTCTACTAAAACATTGATGTTTGCAACTTACGTCCGAACATTGCAAAAGATCTTCAGCAATGTTTTTTGAACGTTTCAAAAGACTGTTTTTGTTGAAGTGAATGGTTGCCTTGGAACAACCTAAAATTTTAGACATGTAGAGTAAATATAGAAGAGTAATACTTAACCAGGATCATCCATTACAAACAAGCATCTGCCCGTAGTTTTGATAAGAGACAAAGGAACTAGACTTCGTCATGCATTGACATTGTATCCTTTGTCAAGTACAGTTACGAGTCTGGTAGATTGACAAGAGTCTATCGTTACAGATGTGTTTGGTACTTATGGATCTCAAACTTGTTCCATATGGACCCAATATAAAACAAGTTTCTCCCATTCTTAAAATAGATTTATGAAATTAGGAAGCTGAAGTTGTACTGTTTCCTTTCTTGTGTTTTTCAATGTCTCAGCAATCCTTTTTTGTATAACCGATGAGTTTTCACTCTTCATGAAATCTTATTCGATGAGGAAAACAAAAGAGGTATGATACTCATTCCCAAATTAAATAATGTCCTCGCCTAACTTTGTAATCTCTTTAACTGTCTATGTGGAATCTGAGAGCAATATTTGAGTTTGAGGCTTTGTTTCTGGAATGTGCCGAATTTTCTAATTCTGAATAACCCCATCGAACTTGATGACTATCCATGAAAATAACAATGTTCTAATGCTAGATTTGGGAGGTGCTTATGTGTTTTTGGCATGGTAACACAGGTTATTTGCTGAGAGGATAGGACAATTCTTTGAAGTTTAAATCAGCCTACCATTAATAATTTATTGAGTGGAAATCCTGTCTGATGGAAGATATGAATCTAAGAGTGGAACTCACCGGATTTGCAATAATCTAACCGGATTTAACACTCCTAACCGTTTAGTTCAACTCATCGTATATTCACTCAACTTACTGGATATACACTTGGCTTACCGTGTATACAAAGCACTTACCAGATTTACCAAAGGAAATTCTGTTTCAATGTAAAACAGAGTGCCTACCGGATTTGCACTCAAGTTACCATATTTGCACTCTTCTTACCGAATATGCTTAAACGCTCACCGAAATTCCTACTGTCATGTTCTGTTTTCTGCCAAGTAAAATTACTCTATTTTTTTGGAAGTTTAAGAAAGAATATTTTTTCATACAATACTTGCGGTATTTATAGGATTACATAGACATGTTTTCCACCTCCTTTAAACTAACAAACTGTCATTAAAAAAGATCTAACTATGATAACTTTTACAAAGATTAAGTTATCAAATTGATAACTTAAACTTAAGACTTAAGATACAAAATATCTAGCCTACTAAAAAAAAAACTGAAAGTAAGAATGTCAACTATATTCAACATTCCTCCTTGACATTTTTACTGGAAACACCAAGATTTAAAGATTTTGTCAAAATGTCAGCTAATTGATCATTAGTTTTGCAGTGCACCAACTTTATCTCTTTTTGTTCTTGAGCTTCTCTGATTGAATGGTATTTGATTTTGATATGTTTGGTTCTACCATAGAAGACTGGATTCTTTACCATTACGACTGTAGATTGATTATCATAATAGATAACCGTGGCCTCTTTTTGTTTGAACTTCAGATCTTCTAAAATCTTTCTCAGCCATATTGCTTGATTTTTAGCTTCTGAAGCAGCTATATATTCAGCTTCAGCTATTGATAGTGCCACAGTTTTCTACTTCATTGAATTCCAGCATATGATACTTGAACCAACATAAAATATGTAGCTAGAAGTACTCTTCATGTCTTCAAAACTACCTACCCAATCACTATCAATATAGCCAATTAGTTTGCACAATTCTGACTTCTTGAACTAAATTCCCATTTCATCAGTTCCTTTGACATATCTCAAGACTCTTTTTGCAGCTTGAAAATGCAATTCACTAGGCTCTTGTCCGAACCTTGACAATAGATTTACAGCATAAGTGATATCAGGTCTAGTGGCTGTTAAATATAATAAACAACCAGTCAAACTTCTGTAAATCTTTGCATCAACCTGCTTTGCACCATCTTCTTTTAATAACTTTTCATTTTGAACTAATGGAGTGCTAACAGGTTTTCAAGTTTCCATGTTGAATCGCCTTAGTACATCCTTTGCAAACTTCTTTTGACTGAAAAAAAATATCCTGCTGATCTTGACAAATCTACATTCCAAGAAAGTAATGCATCTCACCTAGATCTGTCAT